CAGCTACACCGTCGGCTCTCCTGGGTCTGCATCGAACAGCAGCTACACCGTCGGCTCTCCTGGGTCTCCATCGAACAGCAGCTACACCGTCGGCTCTCCTGGGTCTCCATCGAACAGCAGCTACACCGTCGGCTCTCCTGGGTCTCCAACGAACAGCAGCTACACCGTCGGCTCTCCTGGGTCTCCAACGAACAGCAGCTACACCGTCGGCTCTCCTGGGTCTGCATCGAACAGCAGCTACACCGTCGGCTCTCCTGGGTCTCCATCGAGCAGCAGCTACACCGTCGGCTCTCCTGGGTCTCCATCGAGCAGCAGCTACACCGTCGGCTCTCCTGGGTCTGCATCGAACAGCAGCTACGCCGTCGGCTCTCCTGGGTCTCCATCGAACAGCAGCTACGCCGTCGGCTCTCCTGGGTCTCCATCGAACAGCAGCTACGCCGTCGGCTCTCCTGGGTCTCCATCGAACAGCAGCTACGCCGTCGGCTCTCCTGGGTCTCCATCGAACAGCAGCTACGCCGTCGGCTCTCCTGGGTCTCCATCGAACAGCAGCTACGCCGTCGGCTCTCCTGGGTCTCCATCGAACAGCAGCTACGCCGTCGGCTCTCCTGGGTCTCCATCGAACAGCAGCTACGCCGTCGGCTCTCCTGGGTCTGCATCGAACAGCAGCTACACCGTCGGCTCTCCTGGGTCTCCATCGAACAGCAGCTACACTGTCGGCTCTCCTGGGTCTCCATCGAACAGCAGCTACATTGTCGGCTCTCCTGGGTCTCCATCGAACAGCAGCTACACCGTCAGCTCTCCTGTGTCTCCATCGAACAGCAGCTACGCCGTCGGCTCTCCTGGGTCTCCATCGAACAGCAGCTATGCCGTCGGCTCTCCTGGGTCTCCATCGAACAGCAGCTACACCGTCGGCTCTCCTGGGTCTCCATCGAACAGCAGCTACACCTTCGGCTCTCCTGGGTCTCCATCGAACAGTAGCTATACCGTCAGCTCTCCTGGGTCTCCATTGAACAGCAGCTACACCGTCAGCTCTCCTGGGTCTCCAGCTTGCTGCCTGCAGATCTTGGGGCTTCTCAGCCTCCATCATCACATAAGCCAATTCCTTCTAATAAATCTCTCTCTCTGACATATATAAATCTCCTGTTGTTCCTTTTTCTCTGGAGAACCCTAATACAATGGGGCCATGAAGCATCCCAGAGAGAAAGTAGGGGTGAAGCAGGGAGCCCCATCCTAGCAGCTGGATCCTAGGGCCCTCCCAGAGTCTTCTCTGAGGAAGTCCCAAGTCCTATCTAGAATCTCAAATAAAAATGGCAACAGAGCCTGGGAATGCCTTCTAGATCCATAGAGGAAGGGGTATGGCTGGGTGACTTTCCACACTTGTCTGAGCTCTTTCCCCAGCAAGAAGACCCTAAATCTATCATCCCACGTCCCCTGCCCCAGCCCTAGGGAAACCTGGCTTTGTGGCTGCGACTGAAGCAGGCACCTACTCCCACTCCCCAGCACCCCTGTAGCCCCCTAAGAAACACATCTTTGTTGGCTCAATTTGCCAGCAGGAAATTCAGAGGGGTACAAACGACTACTCCTCTCCGCAAAGAAAATCTGGGCTTATTATTAGGAACCCAGGTTGGGGATGGGAGGGGAGTCAGGTGGGGCTCTGTGATGAGCCTGTTCAAGCCCCCCATTTCTCAGAGAAGGTCAGGCTGCACAGATGAAGTGGATGAAGGATGACTGGCCTCCTGGGGCTGACAGCTGGTGAGGAAACTGTGGGCGCTGACTTGTAAACCGAACGGCTCAATATTTATCAGGCAAACAAGCTTTGTCCGGGTCCATATATCACCCGAGGAAATGTCCCAGCCAACACCAGAGGGATCCAAGGTTGATGGGCACAACAGCCACTGTCACTTTCCCTGTTCTGTGTCCCCTCTCTAGTGGGCTCAGTGGGACAGAACTGGACCCCCTAACACCAAGAAGGCAAATATGGAATGGGGAGGGTGACACTGCTCCCCTGCTGAACCACAACAGCTTCTATGAGTATTATGAACTTATTAGTTTATAATAAGGTCTGGCCCCTGCTGTAGGCAGGTCCACAAGTCGACTGAAGCGGATTCCTTTATTCTCTGCTGCAAAGATCCTTGGACTGCAGTATGAATTCGAGTGACTAGGCATACTTGTTAAAGTGCAGATTCTAGGGTGATACCAGGTCAGATTCTGAGGAGGTGGGGCCCAGGAATCTGGGCTTTGTTTTGTTTTGAGACGAGGTCTCACTCTGTTTTGCAGGCTGGAGTCCAGTGACACTATCACAGCTCAATGCAGCTTCGACCTCCCGGGCTCAAGTGGTCCTCCCACCTCAGCCTCCCGAGTAGCTGAGACTACAGGTGCATGCCACCACACCTGGCTGTCTTTTAAAAAAATTTTTTTTGTAGTGATGGGGTTTGCTAAGTTGCCTAGGCTGATCTCAAATTCAAGCAATCTTTCTGCCCCATTCTTCCAAAGTGCTGGGAATACAGGTGTCGGCCAACATGCCCAACCTGGAATCTGTATTTAAACACTTCCTCAGGTGATTCTGATACAGCTGGTCCAGGAGCATTCTTGGAAAACCCTTGCTGCCCTGGTCCTCCTCCCCTGTTCCCAGTGGCTCCCTCCAGCAACTGATCCAGCCTTTGGCCTCCCCGCCCCCACCCGACATGGCTCATATGTGCCCCTGGGGGTTCGGGGAATGGACTCAGGCTGTTGGATCGTGAGCCAAGGCTCACTCCTCAGCAGAGTATCTTTTCCTGCAGCCATGGGTGAGGAAGAAATAAGGGCATTTGGGCCAGCCAGTCAGGGGGACACACACAGCACACCCAGATCAGCCAAACAGCTCTTCTTGATAGAGCCAGACCGTAGAAGGAAATAGAAGTCCAAGGGCTTACTATCTGCCAGGCCCCTTACAAGGGAACTGGGTGGGGAGTTCAACATTCACTGATTACTACTGTGTGTCTGGCACATGGGAGGTGCTTTATTTATTTATTTATGTCATGTCTGATCCAACCCCTACCCTACAAGGCTGCCTGCAGAGCTGGGCTGGATTGGAGCCTCTGGAGGCAATGTCACAGCCCATTCTTTTAGCCACAATGCCCTGCTGCCAAAAGGAATTCCATCGACTGACCCTCTCTGGCCCCTTTTCCCCACCTGCTGCCCCTGTCTGTACAACTCAGGCCTCGCCATCAAAACACATCAGCTCTGGATCCTGAAGCCCACAAAGCAGCCTTGGCATCACTGGGAAAAGACAAGGAAAGCTTAATAAAAATGGCCACACTTACAGAACCTGTGAAATCTGACTAGGCTCCCAGATGCCCTGGCCTGAAGGGTCAGGCAGTTCCTGGAAACCCTCACTGCAGGCCTTAGCCAACCCATCCAGACCTTCCCCTCCCACTGCATGGCTCCCACCCTCAGTCCCAAGTCCTGGGTGTGTGACGCTGGAGACCACAGCTGCCAAGTGCAGAGGAACCTCTGGGCCCAGCAGCCAGTCCAGCACCCCAGCCCCTAGACCGCTGAGTTAATACAAAATAAAAAGATTCCAATGATATATGACCAATAACTATGGCCATAAAAGCCAAATTGGATTTCTTCCTGGCTGATGAGTTCAGGGCCCTTTTCATTCTGAGACTCGATTAACAAATATGTAAAACAATTCCCCCATCATCTCATCTTGGGATCTTGCTGCAAGTTCAAGCATGGGTGCGAAGGAGGTGAAAGAAGCAGGCGATCTGTGTCTGGGGCAGCACAAGTGGCCCCAGGGACTTGAACCTGCCTGGATACTGGCCTGCTGTGTGACCTAGAACCAGTCACTTCACATCTCTGGATAAGTAGTTTCTCCATCTGCCAGATGGGGAGCGGGAAGAGATGCTCTCCAAATCCTCTGATTCTCAGTCACCAACCATTTGGGGGAGGCAGAGCAAAGGAAGCTGGACACTGAGAGGCTCCCCTTCATCTCTCTGCAGAATACCTGGTGGTGGCAGCATGCAGGGGTCCTGCTGTCTTTGGAGGGGGCACACACAGAGGCCAGGCCAAGTGGCAAGAGCAGCTGAATAGCCAATAGCCATGTGCTGGGAGCCATCAGCTTTGCTGGGACACAGCAGGTGGTCACCGGCCAGTTCCTAGCTCTGGGGGAGGCTTGGGAGACTGCAAACCCTCCCACAGCCCCAGCACACCCAGACCACAATTCATGGGTCCAGGGATGTTGCAAAACTCTTCTCTGCCCCATACCACCCAAAGAGAAGCTGGAGGATGCATCAGAAGCTAAACGTGCTCAAACCTGCTGGGGGGCTGCAATGGAGCTCGGGATGGAGCTCTGGGAGAGGACTGTACCCGCAGCCTCACTGCCTGGGAAGGAAGAGAGAACCTTAGGGCAAATCTCTCTCTCTCTGAGAACTTGGGGCTCCCCATCCCCTGCTGCCTGGGCCTGTGAAGGGCTGAGGAGGCCAGGGGCAGAGGAAAGCGGGGAGATGGTGGAGGCTGCCCTTGTGATCCTGAGCCAGAGCCCTTTCTCTTCCCATCTTCAATCCTCTTGTGGGGGTGGGGAGCAGTGGGACCGAATCATGTTGCATCCATGCAGCAACTTGCAGCTTGCGGATCATTTTTGCGTTGGTTTCTCCTCCTAGGAATTATTTCCAATTTGCAGACATGAAAACTGAGACTAAGGAAGTGAAGGGGCTTATTTGAACCTGATTTCTGATGAGCTCAGTGCCCTTCTCACTGTGATAGATTTTATTTGAGTCTTTCATATTTGAATATCTCAGGGTCCTAGAGTCAGTCCTCCCAACCCCCACTTGGGTATGTGTGCATACATGCACCTGCGTGTACACACACACACACACACACACACACACACAGCATCCGCCCTTCTGGTCACGGCTTAGTTATAGTATTGGCTGGACTGTGGGTTCCAGGGAAGGGAGGAGGGTGGAACTGGACTGACCTTCCACTTCCCCATCACAGGTGCCCAGGTGAATTCTCACCTTTGGTGCCCACACAGGTCAGTGGCTCCAGGGAAGGCTTCTTGGTTCCCTTGCTGAGTGATGGCTCAGGCATGGATAGTGGAGAGCAGGTGTCTGTCCAGGAGGTGGGCTCAGTACCCCTCAGCCCCTGGGGCCAGCACAGAGGCCCTTGCTCTGGGGTGGGGGGAGACTGACACTGGCCTCAGCCTCAGCACGCCCTCCACAATGATGCAGCTGCCTACAGAGACACAAGTTGAGGGTTGGTGCTCAGCCGCTGGGGCAGAGGACCCTCAAGCACTGCCCTCCCCCAACTCTGCTGCCTTTCTCATAAAATGCTTGGGAGGCTCACGGCCCCAGGAACTAGGAACTGTTGCTCCCAGACGCAGAGGCCAAGAAAGACCCAGCAAAGCGGACTCGAAAATCCCAGACCCCTTCCCTCACACCCCAACCCTGCTCAATGTTGGAGTGTTACCAAAGTCTCATGGGAATGCCTCTCCCAACGCACCAGTTCTTCCATGATAATGGGGCTTTGTCTCCTATTTGAACTTGGGCAAGTCTTTCCTTCTCCTGGGCCTCAGTATACCCTTTTGTCAAATGGGAGGGCTGGACTCGAGCTTTCAGATACCTCCCAGTTCTGTCATTTGGAGTCCCTAGAGGGCCAGGACACAGGAGTGTGACACAGGAGAGAGGAAGGGGTAATTTAGGGCTGGGGAGCCAGTTGAGGTCAAAAGGGTTGTAGATTCCCTGGGTCCTGAGGCAGCAGCCTCCATCTGCTTTCAGCGGGTTCCAATCCATGCCACAGCCAGAAGCCAGAGACACCCCAGGACCAGAGGGTCCTGCAGAATGGAATGGGGTGGGGGGCAGGCAGTGAGAAGGCAACATTCAGGGAGTCCGTCTCTCTACCCAACCTGAGCCAAGGATGTTCTGGGCCCCTCATTACTCCAGGATGGAGGCGGGGTGGGGGGGAACCAGCTGGAGGAGGTGAAGGCTGGGAATGCTTTGAGAGTAGTTCTGCAGAGGGAGAAATAAGCTACTTAAGCTACTTAGTCTTTAGGCTGGTGACAGCCTAAAATTGATTTCTATTCAAGTGCTGTCCCAGGCAAGGTGGTGGCAGGGAAGGCAGAAGCCTCCTGTCCAGAAGCAATCACCTCCAAGTGCACCTGCTGAGCATCAGAGCAACTTCTGAGCAGGGTAGCAGCACAGCCACCCCATTCCCCAAGACCTGGGCTCAGCTGCCCAATCTCCATGTCCCCTCAGGATGGGAGGACATCCACGACTCTCCAATCCAGAGCCGTTGAGCTGCTGAGCAGGGCAGCTCCTCAGCTTTTCCTGGGATGGGGGACATTCTTTCAAGTTTGGGGGGTGAGGACAAGAAAAGGATTCTTCCTTTTGTCCATATTTGGGGTCAGGCCCTGCCAAATCAAAGCCCCGACTGTCAAAGTCCCTCAGCCCCCTCCCCAATTCCTACATTTACCAATTCATTCACTCATTCACTTGTTGGTGCTTGCTATATAAAACAAGGACTTTCTGCTAAATCAGCATAATCTGGCCAGGTGTAGTGGCTCACACCTGCAATCTCAGCACTTTGGGAGGCCACGGCAGGTGGATCTTAAGCCCAGAAGTTCAAGACCAGCCTGGGCAACATAGGGAGACATGTTTCTACTAAAAGTAAAAAACATAGCCATGTGTGGTCATGCACACCTATAGTCCCAACTACTCAGGAGGCTGAGGTGGGAGGACTGCTTGAGCCCAGGGGTTTGAAACTGCAATGAGCTGTGATTGCACCACTGCACTCCAGCCGGGATGACAGAGAGCCTATCTTAAAAAGAAAACATAATCTTAACTTAGTGATGTCTTAACTCCTTTCCTCCTGAAGGCTCCGTGAACCTTTTCACCCCAGATCTATTCGCATGCTCATTAATGCCCAAGAATGCCAACCGGCTGAGTGTCCCTGTTCATCAGACTCCTGGCTCTGTTACTCTGGGATCCTCTGCTCGAAGACTCTGGAGCACTAGGTTGGAAAATCAGAAACCTCAGAGGGAACCCACAGCAGCTACTGGCCTGCAATGCACACTGCCGGCAGCCTTTTCCAGCTTCCCTGCCTAAAGAAGGGAAGGAGGGGTTTTCTCTTCCGGCTGCTGACAGTTTTCCAAAGCCTGATTCCTTCCTCTCTAATGTCTCCCAGGCCTGGACTGCAGGGAGGAACAAAAACCAACAACCTGCTTTTGTGAAGTCACAAGATGATGCCTTAAAACCAACAAATACTTTTCAACCTGGGATTCCCCACACACAATCATGTCCAGAGGGATGAGAGTCTCAGCTGTGTCTACATGGAAGGAAAAGAGGAAGCATCTGGATGAAAGCCAGCAATGTCCTGCCAGTCTGCCAGATGCTGCCCACATCTGGACATTCAAAAAGTGAACTGTCCGGTGGCTTGGCAGTCAAGAAGCAAATGGTCAGTTCACGTCACCCTATCCATTAGAACACAGCCCGAGTTCCTATGTGCAATTACCAAGATTACTGAGGGACTCACAAGGTACTCTGGCTTCAATCATACTCATCCTCAAAGATCCAAATCAAGGGAGGTGAAGGCCAGAGTGTGGGGTCAGTCCTTGTGCACGTGGCATCTGGGTCCCATCTCCACTGCTTATTAGTAAGTGCTTAGTCTCTGCACTTCACATTTCTCATCCTTAACATGGAGATAACAGTGCTATCCCCCTTGCTGGGCAGGTATAAGCATGAAATGAGATCATATCTGTAAAGTTCTAAGCCCAGGGCCCAGCAGATACTAAACATTCAAAATATGTTGACTTTTATTATCATGATCATTATCATTGGGGTGATTGCCCTGCAGAGCTCCCCAACAAAGAACAGAGAGGTCCCCAGGCCAGTGCAAAGGTCAATGCAGTTGCAGCTTGGGGGGAACATATACTTTTTCCAAACCTCCCAGGAACACCAATTTGCCACAACCTTCCCCACCCTGCCTTCCACTGAAGCTGCCTTCCCCAGAGACAAGAAGATCTCCACATCCTTCTTCACAACAGGAGCAGCTTCCAGCTGGCAGTCATGTCTCTTCTATTCACAAGGTTTGGCAAAGGACACATCATCCAGGTGCCACTGTATGTGTTGGATGCCCCAAGCAGATGGCTGGGCGGAAAAGAGCCTTCTCTACCACACCTGCCTCCTACCAAGACATCAAGCTCATGGACAGCCCAGTTGTCCTGGGGGCAACACCTATAAGAAACTTTCCTCCTGACCCTGGAGTGATCCCTTTGGTCCCTCTTCTACTGCAGTAGGGGACCTGGCTGAGACACCATTCATCATCTATTACCTCTGCTCCTTTGGTCAGAGGTGCTGGCAGGTGGGAATGGGGACTCTGATGAGCTCTACAGGGACAGAGACAGAGACCTTTCCATTAGGTTGGTGCAAAGGGAATCGGGTTTTGCTACTATTTTCAATGGCAAAAATCACAATTACTTTTGTACCAACCTCACACTTCTACAAGCCCACACCTGTACACGGTAAGACCGCTCAGGCAGATGCTTGTGGGATGGGAGATTATGAAGAAGACCTTTTCTGGCAGAGAAGCTTTGAGTCCCTGGACGCTATCTCCTAGGACATCACTTGTGGTTCCAAGAAGTGCCCCTGTAAATGGTACGTTCTGGAATCTAAATCCAAGCCAATCCTTCCCATTGCCCTTACTGCCCCCTTGTTCCCAATGGTCAAGCTCACTGCATACAGAAACACCATCACCTGCTACCCAACAGCCTTTTCCAAACTGGCAGGCTCCCCATTTGGTTCCCTCAGAGTGAGGAACGGATGGGAGGAAGTAAATTGCCAGGATCAAGGGCATGCTGGGAGTTCTGCAGGCAACGAAGCCCTCTCCAGCATCTTCTCTCCCCTGAGTTCTGGGGGAAACATATCCAGACCTTACACTTCACTAGTGCCCTCCAGGGCCTGGCCCCAGGATGCTGTACCAGGTTCTTCCTTCCAGGTTTTGGCAGAGACACAGCCTCTGCTGGTACACATGCCAGCAAGCGTGACCAGCCTGGAGGTGTAATATAAATAGCCTGCCGCTGCCCATCAGCTCCTCCGCCCCCTTGGCATCAGTTCCAAACCTTCCCCTTCCTCACCCCCAGAGCAAACCAGCCAGCAGGGGCTCTGCTGGGCTCCACCTGCCTCCTCACCAGCACTGTGACCTTGAGAGGGTGACTTGACCTCTCTAACCTCAGGTCCCTTCATTGTGAAATGGAATCAGAGCACCTCCCTCTTGGGCGGCCATGGGGATCATATCAGTTAAGGTCCATGAAGCATTTAGCACACTGTCTGCCATGTGGCTGATGTCAGAGGAGTGTTGGGGAGAGGACTAGAGCGATGACAGCAAGCGGCATTTCACCTCCGCTCTTAGAAGGGAGCTGTTAGGTTTACCAGCTGCATCGGTTCAGTGCCCTTCCCTGGTGTGGTTTGGACACTTCCCACTCACCCAAGGAAGCCAGCCTGGCTGCCTGGGAAGATCCCTGGCCTGGAATTTGAGACTCAGGCTCTGCTATCAACACGCTGCGTGATGCTGGGCAACTCACTTGCCCTCTCTTGAGTAACTCCCCCATCTGCAGAGGCCTCTCATATCCTTGACCTCTTACAGAGTTAAGTTGTCTTCAATAGTCCAAGCTTCACAGCTTGAGCCCCATTCCAGCCTCTTACAGGGACTCAGCCCCAGCCCGGCCATGGCTCAGAAGCCTTGAGTACCCAGCCCAGGCCACTGATTGATAAACAAAGGTGAGGGTACTGCCCTTCACCTCTGGCCTGTCTGGCAGAGAGATTTATATCCCTTTGAAACCCATCACATAAACAGGTTTCTCGACAAGAAAATATTTATTGAATGACAGTAACCAAAACAATATAGGGTACTGGGCAAAATGGGGGTTTTTGCTTCATTCAGATCAAAATCTGATCCCAGCCTGGCCTCTTCTCACTGTGTGATCTGGCAAGTCTTTTCGCTTCTCTGAATTTTGCTTTTCCCATACATGAGGATGACAATTTATGTGCCATGAGATGGTGGCAAGGCTTAAGTGAGACAGTCCATGTAAATGCTTAGCACCTGGCACATAGTAGGTACTCTACACATGGCAGCTATGAGTGTTGGTATTGTTAGCACCAGACTCCCTTCATAAGGCGGAGGACCTGAGGCCACTAGCCATGCCTGGGCCTGTTTCTAAAGAGCTTTGACAAGACAGATACATATTCCTCACAATCCTACCGCCCGTGTACCTTCCAGCTGGTGCAGAGTGGAGTGCGGCTGTCTGGTCTCCCGGCGGCCAGGCAGGGAGTGAGCTCACTGGGGGAGGCTCTGCCGCCATCCCTGGACTGGTCCCATGCAGCATCCATGCCTCCAGCCTTTGTTGGGCAGCTGCAGCATGAGCCGCACTGTCTGCCTGTGAAATGCGACTTTTGGAAAACATGCATATTTGTGAGTTGGTGCATGTTTCTATTTTGGGCCGACACGGCTCTCTTTATTTATTTTCCCCAGGCTTTGATGCTTTGGAATCCAGTTTGGAAGGGTGTTTTGACAGACTTTGACACCTCTTCTGGCTCCTTTGGCAAGACACATGCTCAAGGTAGGGGGAGGGCAGGCAGAGAACAGGATTTCAGCTGACAAGCCCTCCTCCTTGGCTAGGACTGGTGGACAATCCCACACCCCTGCCTCACTGTCCCAGCCCTCAGTTTTTCCACATTTGGGTGTGGGGAGAAGTATGAGAGGGGTTCAGATGGGGAAACCATTTCAAAGAGGGGAAGGGAACCAAAAACGCTAATCACTGAGCTCCCGATTTTAACAATGTTAGCATCATTATCAATACCGATAGTGTTGTTACCGTCAACCATCACTACTACCACCCCTACCATTTTGGGGTGCCTACTTTCATTGCTGGCTGTGGGCTGGCTGCTGGCCCTTAGGGACACCACCTCCTTGCTCAACATCTCACTTGGCTCATCTGTGGAGGCTATTTTTGCCATCCTCAGCTCATGGGGTTATGAAAAGAGGCTGCTCAGCCACATGGCAGTCATGGCTGTCTTCCCTCTTGGCATCAGAGCCTGGCCAGCAACCAACTGCCCATGGGCAGTCTGCTTGGTTGGGTCTAAGGACATGAGGCTGATTGCAAAGCGCTACTTACTGGGCAGGACCTCTAAAGCTGCTCTCAGCTGGTCCCTTCTCTGTGGCCATTTACAACCAGCCCAGCGTCTGCCACCTGGGAGGAAGGACCTTAACTGGGGCAATTCCTTTCGCCTTTGATGACTACGGGAATAGGGGGTGGGGAGGATGGGGAGACAAGGGAAGTATGTCTACACTAGCAGAGAAATGGGCTTAAAACATTCAAGGACCAGGGGATCCGGAGATTCAGGTTTAAGTCTTCTATTCATTCATTTGATCATTCACTCATTCATTCATCACATATCTACCAGCAGAACTGGTGGTTTATGCAGATGATATATAGACAGTAGAAGTAATGCCCACCCCAATAAAGACTGCATGTCAGCAGTACGACCTCAAGAAAATTACTTGGCGTCTCTGGTCCTATGAAAGAAATCATCTGAACGTCCCTCACTCAGGGAACAGCAACCCTTTACTAGCGGTGGGTGCTCTAAGGAAGGGGAAAGGCAGGATCATCTTTGGGGTTAGAATTACAATTTTCAATCCCACCCACACTGAAGAGACACACTAGAGAGTCAATGTTCCAGATCATTAGGATCCTACAGGTCGCCTCAGCCAGTCCTTTAATAGATGGGAAGCCTGAAGCTCAGAGAAGGGTAGTAGTTTGCCCAAGGGCAAATTGGGAGTCTGTGGTCAAGCTCGGACTAGGATCCAGGTCCCTTCACTTCCAGTCTGGTGCTCCTTCCGCCACACCATACTGGGACTGTTCTTCTTTCAACCCAGTTTCTGAAGGACAACAGCAGGAGAGGTGTCAAAGGGTAAGCCAAGTCATGGCTACCAGATCCCATGGCTAGACAAATCTCCATTGGGGGGGGTTCCAGAATGATTCACCCAAAGTTCTCAGCCCCTTGGAAACACCTCTCCTGGCTCCCTTGGCAAGACACATGCTTGGGTAGGGGGAGGGCACAGGGGCTCTTCCTGGAGAGGGGAACAGAAGCTTCTGAGGCCACGTTGGAGGGCCATCAGATTTCCAAAGAGAGAGTAACGGAGACATGGAACCTAGAATGGAGAAAGCAAGTCTGAGAGAATGGAGTCAGCTCCCCCTAAGGGTCAGCCGTGCCCACATCCCAGCAAAGACTGGGTCAGACCCAGCCTAAGGAAAGTTGGGGAAAGAACTGAAGGCAGTTGGTGGGGAAGGATGACTGAAAAGACAAAAAAAAAGAGAGGGTGTATGTGTGTGTGTGTGTGTGTGTGTGTGTGTGTAAGATAAACCTAGGGGAGGGAACAGAGCAGGGAAACAGATGATACAATCAAAGAATACGGACCCTGATTGCACATGTGTCTGGACTAAGGTTAGAGGAAGAGGAGTGACTATTGGGGTAGAGAGCCAAGCAAAATGGACCCTGGGCTGAAAATGGAGATTCTGTAAGGCATCTGCCCAGGCTGGGCTTCTGCCCAGAGCTTCCACCGAGCCACAGTCTCCTCCCTCCCTCCCTCCGACAAATGCCCTGGTCCCCTGGGAGGTATGTAGTAGGAGGTGGGGAGGGGGTGTTTGCTCTGAATCTCCATGCTTTTCCCACAGGAGAAGGACAGTGTGTGTGTGTGTGTGCGCGCGCGCGCGCGCGCTGGGGGTGGGAGTATGTCTGTGCTTGGGAGCATGAGTGGCTTTGTGAGTCATGGCATCGGTGAGAACACCAGGTGGTGGGCTCTGGAGTCTGGGGCTTAGTCAGTGAGTCCGGAGACAGCAGCCTCGAGTGTGGAGCGGGGGCGAAGATGCTGCCCAGGTCCACAAACGTGTGTGCTTGTGAGATCTGACCACCCACGTGTGTGTGAACCGCGGGTCTGTGTGTGAATTGTGTGCACCTGAGGATTGTGGGTGGGTGTATATTTGTGCAAGTGGACTACGAATATGTGTGTGGACTGTTTTCCAATGGTCTGTAGATATGTGTGTGCGCGTGGATGGGTGTGAGTGTGCGCGTGGACCGTGGGTGTGCGCGGGTTTCTGGGTTTCCAGGGTGGCCGCGAGGCGCTGTCCACGGTGCTGACCCGGGGCGTGGGTCGACCAAGACCTGCGGCCAGTCTCGGAATGCGGGGGGAATCGTGGGCAGCTGACACTGGCGGTGGAGCAGAGAGGGGCCGCGAAGAGGAAGCCCCCAAGAAGGCGCCTTCCCACCCCTGCTGCCGGCGCCCCCAGGGAGTTGGGAAAAGTTCTCCCGGCGGTGGGGTTGGCTCCCTGGACTCGGCACCCCTTGCGCTAGGAATCTTCCCAGACCCTCAGCGCCGCCACTGCCCGGCTGCCCACTCCACCTCCACCCTCGTTCGCGTTCTCGGCAGAGCCCGGGGACCCTCTCGCGCGCGGAGTCCATAGCCGGCCCAGCCCGCCCAAAGCCCCCACGCGTTCTCCCCGCCGGAACTACAGCCAGGTTATTCGGCGAAATTTCCCTCCGAGAGCTTGAGTGTGCTAGGTAGGAGGTAGGTGCAGGGTGTCATTAACCTGACTCTGTCCCCTCCCTCCGCTCTAGCGAGAGCCCGATCCTAGGGCGGCTTCAGACTGACGCTCAACTTTTATGGACCCAGATATCCGCCAGCGGGGACGAGCAGGGGCCGGAGGTCGGAAGCCTCGCAGTTCCTGGACATCCAACATCCAACTTGTCTAGGCCGACCGAGGCTGCTGCAGCCCCGCGGGGAGCTGGTGCGGAGCTGGGGCCGGGCCGCGGAGGGCAAGCCTGGGCTCTGTCCACCCCTGACCGGCTTTTCCCAGGGGGCCCCCGAGGCCCGCATCCCGGACTGGCTGGAGAGCCGGAGAACTTCGCGCGCTGCGCCACGCAGGCCAGGGTGCAAACGGCGTGGAGGACTTCCCCCTCCTCCTAGCAACGCAACCCCTAGCCCCGAGACCGAGGCCCGATGGCGCTCCGCGGCCGTGCACTCACCTCGGCCGGCCGAACGGGGCTGGGCTGAGCCGCCGGCGCCGGAGGGAGTGCGCGGAGGGTCGGGGGTCGGCGGCCACCCCACCGGGCAGACTCGTCTCCTGGCGGGAGTCGCAGAGGGAAGCTCCTCGGAGCCCCCAGGAGGCCAGGGCTCCCGGTTCCGCTCCTGGGCGAGCAGACCGCGGGAAGACGCGCGCGGATCCCTGTCCCCAGCTAGCAACCCGAACACACCGCGCCGCTGCCTTTTATTCGCCGCCCGCCTTTGTTTGGGTCCCGGCTCCTACCACGGGACGCGGGGGTGTCCGAGTCAGACTCCGGAGCCGCGCCGCCGTCCGGCCCCTGGCGCCTCCTCGACCTTTACGCCACCGCGCTCTGAGTCGTGGCGGACGAGAATCGGCGCCATGCCGCGCGCTGCGGTCTCCGGGGCCCGGTGCCTGGCGCCGCCTTGGCCGCCTCTCCCCCTGCCCAGCCACGCGGTGGTTCAGCCAGGCCTCGGCGCCCGCAGGCTGGGGAGGAGGGCTGCGCAGCGACCCCTGGGGGTCGGTCCCCGCCCCTGCAGACGGTCCAGGCCAGGCCCCTTGCCCCGCCTCCGAGTTGCCTGGTTCCCAAGTCTCTTCCCCCGCCGCGCTCTCCCTCCTCTCCAGCCAGCCCGCCCAACCTTGGCAAGTCACCAGCCTCCTGGACACTCGCGGGCATCCCTGGGTGCCCTCCGGAGGGAGCTGCCAAGCCCAGGCTCCTGGCGCAGTCCCTTCCTCGTTTGTTCTTCAGTTACCCCTCTGGCACCAGAGCCTGGAGCCATGCCAGCCCCTGGGACCGGGCATCCCTCCAGCTCTAGCACATAGCCTGCCTGACACCCTTGGCCAAAGGGCCACAAGGAGAAAGAGGCTGGAGGGGGGTGGTGGCAAGACCAGTGCCCTCGCCCATTTCTCTCCATCAAGGCTCAGAGAGCTAAGGGGGACCCCTCAAAAAGGGGCCAGCTGCCAGCCTCCAGCCTCCAGAAAGGAGGAAGGACATTGCCACGCTGTGTGAGTCATGAGCTTGTCATTTTTCCTCTGAGTGTGTGCTGACCAAGGACCTGGAAAGATAGGACGATGGTGAGATACAATGCTTGCCTTCAGGAGGTTTCTGGCTTATGAGAGAGAAGAATGTGTGAGAGTTATGAATGAAACATGACAAGCCCCGCCAGCCAATACACAGATGCTCAACCCACATCAGCCCCTCCCTACCCCTAGCCCTTATTTGTAAAAGAGGAAAACTGGGGGGACACACCTCAAACACCAGAGTGCTGAGTGGAGCTCCTGTGCTGTTTCACTGCTGCTCCTGCTCTGTCTCTCTGCTGTGCAGTCCCCGGAAGCTGTACCCATAGACTGACTGTCAACGGGACACATTGGTGTTTATGACCTGGGTGCCCTGAGAGCTCATCTACGCAGAAGCAAATGGCCCGAGCCAGTGTCCCTGCCCTGGCACTCACCCCCATGTGCTCAGGGTCTCAAGAGAGCCATTGCCAGGCTGGCCAAGTCTGTCAGAAGACTCCCAATGGCTCCATCTTGCCTTGAAGACATAAGGGTTGGGGGCAGTTCCTGGGGTGAAGGATGCCACTCTGAGCTGTGAGGGGAAGAAAGAGACAGGAGATCTCTCACAGGCAGTAGAGGGTTTGCAAATTGCTGTCCCAGAACCAGAGGCCAAATCTGACATGAGTGCAGAGGACCAGACCTGGCACCGCCCTGCAAATGTCCAGTCCCATTTGCCATATCCTAGAGGGAGGGCAGAGAATGAGGAGCCATGGGAGAGGGTGGGAAGAAGGAGAACAAGGAAAAGATTTGTTTTTAAAGGAGCCGTAGAGAGACACAAAGTGTGTTCCCAAGCCCAGCTGAGAGCAAAGTGTTTTCTTGGCTGGGTGAATGGCTTGATTCTTTTCAGTTTGTTTTAAGGCTGCTTCTAGGAGTCTCCTCAAAGTTCTCCAAGGCTCCAGCACTGTTCCTCTCAATCTGACAAATCCACAGGCCATCCCTTGGTGTGCCCCATGGTGCTGTGCCACCCCCAGCCCATGCCTGGGGATACAGCTCCCACTCCCCTGGGAAATAGATTTAGTGGGTTTCATAGGTCCCTGATGAAATTCTTACCACCTTCAAAGGGGTCCTGCTTCATGTTCCCTAGCCTGCCATAACTATGGCCACCTTGGCCATACCCTCCTCCAAACCCTCCCTGGCCTCTTGAGACCTCCAGAGAATCTCCAGCGGGGCTGGGCTTGCTCTGCCTTTGGTGGGGGATCTTCTGCGAAGGAAGGGTGCAGAGGTTGAGGCCTGTGGAGTGGGGGCAGGAGGTGCAGAGTGTGGTAGCCAGGAACACCGGAACGATGCAATTTTCCCAGGCCATCAGTGAGGTTTTAAAAATGCAAATGGAACCAGGCCTTTGAAATATGCCTGCCATAAAGGGGAACCGGTGGTGGCATCGGAGCTGGTGCGGGCATGAAAAGTCATGAGAATCCTCCTCCTGGGGTTCATCCCGAGGTTCCCTCCCCCTCCCATGCCAGCTCCCACTTGTAGGAAGCCTGTTTACTATGGGGGCCTTGGGAAGCTGGCCTCAGACATCCCTGCCCAGCCTCAGGGTACTTTCCTGAAGCCTCCTGTACCTCCAGGTGAGTAACAAAGATGACTCTGGTGAACGGATGATCTGCCCAGATGAAAGGCTGCAGAGAATGAGATTCTGTGTCCCCTCTGGCTCCTTGTTCCAGTGCTGTCTGGTGGAAGTTCTTCCTGGGTCTGATTTAAATGCCTCGTGGTGCCGATAAGCTGCTTCCCTTGTAGTCTGTCTTCACGACTAATTGAAAAGCCTTCTTTGCAAGGGATATGAGCTATAAAAGGCCGCTTTATACTCTCCTCCTATCCATTTATTTCTACTTCTATTTTCTCTCCAACTAGGTCTGAGGCAGCCTCTGAGCTGAACCTCTGATTCTACCCCTGTCTGTAAAGTCATTTTTCTGTTCCACCCCTTACCAGCTGCGTGACCTTGGGAAAGTCACTTCACCTTGCTGAGCCCCAGTTGTCTCATCTATAAAGTGGGGATGGTAAGAATATGTCTCGTTGCAGCAGTTATAGTTACGAGATCATCCCTGTGCAAAAATTGCATTCAGCACTGTTTATGGCACACATTAAGCACTAAATAAACATTAGCAGTTTCTTCACTGCCCCGCCCCCGCCCCCCCCCCCCCCCCCGTGAAGGGGTTGTATGCAAATCAAGTCCTCCCACCAGATGGGTGAGCAGCTGAGGGCTGAGCACATGGGGAGGGTTGGGAGTATTTATCTTTTAAAATATGGTATTAAGACATTGTCCCAGCACCAGAGAATAGAATGAATGGATTTATAAGTAATCCCCTCTTCGACCTGCTAAGGCACTGACTTTGATGCTCTTGGCCCCCAGCCCCAATCTCACCTTCTCCAAGAAGACACTGGGCAGAGTCAGGTAGGCTGGGCTATGATGGAAAGAACTCTAGGTTTAGGAAACTGGGTTTGATTTTTCTGTGTATCTTTCATCAGTACGATCTTGGGCAAGTCACTTTATTTCTCTGAGACTTAGTTTCCTCATCTGCAAAGTGGAAGTCATAATGACTACTGCCAATAATCTTTTCAGCTAAGTTAGAACACAGATTTACTATAAGTAACCATTTGATAGTTAGTTCCAGATATAGTTATAGCTATAATGTAGAGAGATGATAGGATGATCACTCCCTGTTTCCATGAGTTTCAGGGTTGATTGTGCTTCATGTGACATGATAGATGCAAAAGAGCTCAAGGAGCTTGCTCAAGTTCATGGTGAACGAAATTCTGACTCCAAGTCACATAGAAAGTTAGTGGAAGAGCTTGGATTGGACTCCAGGTATCCCAGCTTCCCATCCTACCCTTCTCTGAAACACCATCCTTCCTCTCCCCAGCCCCTTCCTCCCTAAAGCTCTGTTCAGGAGGTGAGTGTAAGCTTATGGGAGCGAGAAACATTAGAGGATCTCATAATTAAAGAGAAGACAGAGAGCTCTAAAGAAGGGCCTGAGGAAGGCCAACAGGGCTAGGTTTAGGGCAGGGGTACTGCAGACAGGGCCTAAAGGAGGCTAGACAGATGGCAGCTCTCCCTTCCTGCCTCCCCCAGAATTCTGTAAACAGCCAGGCCTAGCATGCCTTTCCCAGCCTTCCCTGCCTCCTTCAAGGGAGCAGGCATCCTGTGCCAGAGTGAGTACAGTCCAAGTTATTAATTGCCTGCAACAATTAGCCCCAGTGCCTGGGCCTGCAGACACCCAGGCTCTGAGAGAGGGAGCCAATTACAGCTTCATCAATATTCACTCTGCCACACAATCCTCTTCCAACAAGACGGCCCGGCCCCCTTGTCCCCCATCCACATTTCTAGGGGCCTTTTCTCTGACCTCAACATCTGGAGAAGACTAAATATTGCTGATTTCTTCAAGAGGGAAAGTCAATGGAGAGGTTAGACCCAAAGGGCGTTTTGCATAGCAGAGCCAAGACATTGGCAGGGAAGGGCAGGATCCTGCCAAAAATCTGGACAGTGTGGCATTAGCCAAAGACAGTCCCTTTGTTGGGAAGAGATTGTAACCTCCAGGCTGAGGGTTTTACATGGATACCCTGAGGGCTCTTATTGATAGAACTGGCTTGAAAGGAGGAGATCATAAATACCCAAAAAGTTACAGTTTTAATCCCAGCTCAGTCACAGACTAGCTTTGTGGTTTCTGGAAAAGCCCTTTGCATCTCTGAGCTCATGTCCTCACCTGTAAACCGGGGGCAGTGGCCACCCCTTCCCATGGAGGAGAATTACAGGAGATACTCTGTGGAAGCACACAGCAGTACAGCAAGTGGCACCCAGTGAGCTGGGAGTAAATGACTGTGCTTATGTTCTATCCAGAAAAAGCTCCAGAAGATCTCTTGACCCCCCGAGAAGAATGAGGTGATGGGGAACCAGGCAGATGGGCAGTTAGGAGGCCAGGACGCTGACCCCAGATTTGCTGTAATATGCTCTGTGGTCTTGGTGCCCTTCCATCTTCGGCCTCTTGTTTCTATTTGACAGACAAGTACATGAACTAGATGTGCTCCAGAGCCCCCCTGACTGTGATCTTCCCGGAGAATATGAGGAGACAGAATGAGCTCAGACAGGATAGGAGGCCACAGGGAATATGCAATTCCTGATTTTCCAAGGGGGTAAACGGTAGCTGTGGTCAATGTGATG